AATCTGTACTTGAAAACTTCCTATAAAGAAAATACAGGCCTGATGACTTCACTGGTTAATTCCATTGAACACTTTTGGCAGAACTATTACCAATTTTAATCAAAGTATTTTAGAAATTAAAAGAGGAAGGAATACTTACCAAGTCATTCCGTGAGGCTAGAGTTATTCTAGTAACAAAACTAAGATAATACAAGAAAAGTAAACTATAGATCAATCTCCCTCATGAACATAAATGCCAAAATCTTTAACAAAATATCTGCAAGTCATGTCAACCAACATATAAAAGGATAGCACATTCTAATTAAATGGGGTTTATCTCAGGAGCTCACAGTTAGCCTAATATTTTTAAACAAATTAATATAATTTACCATATTAGTAGACTAAAAAAGAAAAATTATGTCTTCTCAGTAGATGCAAACAAAATTCAATTCTCATTTATGATGAGTTCTCAAAAATTAGGAGTTAAAGGGAAAACCTTAATCTTAAAAGGACACAAAACACCAAAGCTAACATACTTAATGCTGAAAGACTGCTTTTCCCATAGGTCAGTGATAAGATATTTCTTCTCACCTCTTCTAGTCATCATTTGCACTAGAGACTTTGAACAATGCAGTAAGGAAAAACAGATTGGAAATAAAAAAGTACCTTTGTTTGTAGACAAAACGTTTGTCTTACAAAATCTTAAAGAATACACACAAATGATGAACTAGCAGAAAGAGAAATCAGGAAAGCAATTCCATTTACAATTGTCTGTAAAAGAATAAAATACCTAGGAATAAACCTAACCAAGGAGGTGAAAGACCTAGACCCTGAAAATTATAAGACACTAATGAGAGAAAGAAGACACCAATAAATGGAAATACATCCCATGATCATGGATAGGAAGAATTAATATTGTCAAAATGCCTGGGCTGCCTAAAGCAATCTACAGATTCAATGCAGTCCCTATCAAAATACCAACAGCATTCTTCAACGAACTAGAACAAATAGTTCTAAAATTCATATGGAACCACAAAAGACCTCAAATAGTCAAAGCAATCCTGAGAAGGAAGAATAAAGCTGGGGGGATTACACTCCACAACTTCAAGCTCTACTACAAAGCCACAGTAATCAAGACAATTTTGTACTATACAAGAACAGATAGAATAGTGAGTCCAGATATATAACCCAAGCATATATGGTCAATTAATATATAATAAAGGAGCTATGAATATACAATATGGAATGACAGCCTCTTCAACAACTGGTGTTGGCAAAACCGGACAGCTACAAACAAGAGAATGAAACTGGATTACTGTCTAACTCCATACACAAAAATAAACGTGAAATGTATCAAAGACCTAAATTTAAGTGATGAAACCATAAAACTCTTAGAAAAAAACATAGGCACATATCTCTTGAATATAAACATGGGCAACTTTTCCCTGAACACATCATTTCGGGCAAGGAAAACAAAAGCAAAAATGAACAGATGGGACTACATCAAACTAAAAAGCTTCTGTACAGCAAAGGACACCAGTAGAACATCAGTAGGACAAAAAGGCATCCTACAGTATGGGAGAATATATTTGTAAATGACATATCTGATAAAGGGTTAACATCCATAATCTATAAAGAACTCACATGCCTCCACACCCAAAAAGCAAATAACCTGATTAAAAAATGGGTGAGGTATCTGAACAGACATTTCTCCAAAGAAGAAATTCAGATGGCCAACAGGCACATGAAAAGATGCTCCACATTGCTAATTATCAGGAAAATGCAAATTAAAACCACAATGAGATTATCACCTCACACCAGTTAGGATGGCCAACATCCAAAAGACAAGGATCAACAAATGCTGGTGAGGGTGTGGAGAAAGAGGAACCCTCCTAAACTGTTGGTAGGGATGTAAATTAGTTTAACCATTGTGGTAAGCAATATGGAGGTTCCTCAAAAAGCTCAAAATAGAAATACCATTTGACCCAGGAATTCCACTCCTAGGAATTTACCCAAAGAAAATAAGATCCCAGATTCAAAAAGATATATGCACCCGAATGTTTATGGCAGCACTATTTACAATAGGCAAGACATGGAAGTAACCCAAGTGTCCATCAGTAGATGAATGGATAAAGAAGATGTGGTACATATACACAATGGAATATTATTCAGCCTTAAGAAGAAAACAAATCCTACCATTTGAAATAACATGGATGATGTTGGACAATATTCTCAGTGAAATAAGCCAGGCAGAGAAAGACAAGTACCAAATGATCTCACTCATTTGTGGAGTGTAAGAACAAAGAAAAACTGTATGAACAAAAGAGCAGTAGACTCACAGACTCCAAGAAGGCACTAGTGGTTACCAAAGGGAAGGGGTGGGGAAGGGTGAGTGGGGAGGGCAGGAGAAGGAGATTAAGGGGTATTATGATCAGCACACATAATGTAGTGGGGGCACGAGGAAAGCAGTATAGCACAAAGACGACAAATAATCACTCTATAGCATCTTACTATGCTGATGGGACAGTGACTGCAATGGGGCATGCGGGGGGGACTTGATTATATGGGTGAATGTAGTAACCATAATGTTGTTCATGTGAAACCTTCATAAGATTGTATATCAATAATACCTTAATAAAAAAAGAAAAGAAAAAAAATACACAAACAACTAGCTATTAGATCTTATTGGTGGGTCTAGCAAGTTGCAGAATATAAGGTTAATATAGAAAAATTTTATTTCTGTATTACTATTTTTTTTTGAGAGGGCATCTCTCATATTTATTGATCAAATGGTTGTTAACAACAATAAAATTCTGTATAGGGGACTCAATGCTCAATGTACAATCATTAATCCACCCCAAGTCTAATTCTCGTCAGTCTCCAATCTTCTGAAATGTATTACTATTTTATTTCTATATACCAATAACAAACCATTGTACATTTAAAATTCTAAGTACTATAAAAAAATGAGATAAACTTAACAAAATCTATACAAGATTTGTATACTTAAAACTATAAATACTGCACAGAGAAATTCTATAAGACCTAAATGGAGATTACATGTTCATGGATTTGAGGATGGTATATTAGTATATTAATTCTCCTCAAATTGGTCTACTTTTGAACACAATTCCAAATAAAATCCTAGCAGCCTTTTTTTTGAGGTAAAAAATAAGCTGATTCTAAAATTTATACAGAAATTTAAGACTTAGATAGCCAAAACATATTTGAAAAAGAACAAAGTTGGAGGCAAGTCACAATCAAACCATAATATACCATCCAGAATAACTAAAATTAAAAAGTGTTAGCAGAGATGTAGAACAACTAGAATTCTCATACATTGCTTTTGAAAATGTAATTCAGTAAAACCAATTTGCAAAAAGTTTTCCATTAACTATTAAAGTTGAACATATGTCTTCTTTGCTGTCACAATGCTGCATAATAATCAAGCCACAAACCCAGAAGTTTATGACAATAGCATTGATTCTTATGTTTATTGATCTTTGGGATGTCTAAGATTCTGCAGATTGGATTCAAATCTGCCCCGCACATGTTCGTTCTGAGGGCCCAGGCTGAAGGGACAAAGACTACATGAGATAAAGTTTCCTCATGTGCATCATCTGAGCTCACGAGCCACATCAAAGTACATGAGCACATTTAAGATTCATGTCATGTCTGCTAATATGCTATCAGCCAAAAGAATTCACATGACCAAGATCAGTATCAATGAAGCAGACAAGCAAACTTGGCCAACCATGGAAGGGGAAGGAATGAATATTACCTGAAACAAAAATCTAAATTATCATGTACAGCATGGGATACACTCACCAGAAATGATGCACATGTGTACCAAAAGATGTAAATAAGACTGTTCAAGCAATATTCTTGTTAGCCAAGAACTGAAAATAATCCAAATATCTATTAACAATTCAATGGGTAAAGAAAATATGCTAAATCTACACATATCTAATGAAAATGGAAGAGTAAGTACACATATAAACATGAGTACTGGGCACAAAAGTGTTCAATTTATATAAAGTTCAAACCACAGTGACAAACCTTAGGGATCCATATTTAGGCAGAAAACCTATGAAGTAAGGAAAATTTCACCATGGAAGTTAGGTTAATGGTTAGGTTTGGTGGTAAGGAAGAGAGGAGGATACTGATTGGAGATGACTCGAGCAAGCTTCTGGAATTTTGGCAATGTTCTGTTTCTTGACCAGGGTGGTGGTTTCATGAATATTTTGAGGCAAATTAGGGAGTTACACATTCTGGTTTTATGTACGTTAAACATGTCTCTTGCGGTATTTTCTGCTTTCTCAACCTTCAATTCTTGAATAACAATTTCATATCTATAGTAACTTTGTACTCATTTTGCCCTCTGCTTGGAAAGCCCTTCCTCCGCATCTCCTAAGGACTGGTTTGTTTTATTACTGACGTTTTACTTCTAAAGCCCCTTATTCAGTGAGAGCTTGTTAGCTCTGCACCTTCTGCCTGACCTACAGTCTCTAATCCCACTCTCCCAACATTTTCAGCTTTTCAAAATGGTATAGTTAAAAATGAAATTCTATTTTTGTGGTGGTGGTGGTGGTTTCCTTGTTAATGTTTGTCATCACCTTTAGAATAAATTGCATTATATGCAGGGTTCTGGTCTAGCTTGTTCACGACTATAATCCTACTTCAGCGTCTGTCTACAGCAAACAGTAAAAGGTGCTATTGAATGAATAAATCTATTCCCATCACGTAGCACGGTGCCTGGCTCACTGTCTGCAGGTACTTACTATCTCTTCTTGGTATCATTAATGTTATTTGTGGTACCCGAACTCTACATGGATTAAAACTTCCTAAAGGTGTTTCCTAGGAAACGAGCATATAAACAAATGTTGCCGTGTAAAAATGGATGAAGGAAACAATTCAAATGGGAGTCTGGAAGCAGTAAGGGAGGGTTCTCCTTCATGAACCACAAAGCTTCTTTTACCTATCCCAGAGGAGAAGGGAAATTTTCTCACGGCCCAGGAACAACCCCAAACCGTAACTCCTCCAATGGACTGGACTTTCGCTCTAAACAACCGCTCCCAGTTTCCTCCTTTGTTCTTGGATTTGCCCATGGTTCACCATACTTTACATTGTTGAATTGGAATTCCTCCCCTATTCCCAAATAAACTCATGTTTCTGGTTAAATAACTAGCTATTAATATTTATTAAATTACAAGATTTTGTAAAGGTCGCTTTGGGGCAAAACAAAACGTGTCACCGTACCAGCTGCAGGAAGAGACGCAGAGCCGGACAAGGCCGTCCGAGCTTAAAGAGCCCATAAAGCACGTGTGGGCCCGTAGTGGCTGCTCCGCCCATCTTCCCCTGCGCGGCTTCCACATCCGGCGCCGGCCAACTCTTGGCGACTCCTGTCCCTGTCCCGCCCACGCCTCCAACTCAGTCTTCGTCCTCCAATGCCAGGGCGCGCTGCGGCCTCGGGTCTGCGCAGAGAGGCGAGACGAGCCCGCGCTTGCGCATTCGCTTCTCTTTAGTGATTGGCTACTGCCTCCTCGGGGCCCGCCAGTCTCAGTTTTCACTTTCTCTTTCTGAGGTTACGGGCTTTACTTCCGGTTTCCCGCGCCCATCCCCGAGAAAGCAGTCACGTTTCCTCAGGCTGCGGGGCGTCTCCAGGACCACTCCTTCCTCAGCCAGGACGTCGCCTGGCTGACGACCGCGGACGGACCTGCGGTTTCACGAGACCATCCCGCCGGCGTCTAGCGGCCCACTCCGGCCCGGGCCGCGTTCCTCGCGCCGCTGGCGCTAAGGCCGGGAGAAAAGATGGGCTGCAATGTGGAGGGTCCCGCGCGCTTCTGACGAGCCTCTGCAGACCCGGGTCGAGGGCGCCCACCTGAGACCGCTGAGGAGGGAAGTCCCGACAAAAGGCGACTCGGGGGCTTCCTTTCCGGGAAGGCGGCACAGACTGCGGCTAGTTAGCAAGGTACTCAAATATCTTGTCACATTTGGCGGCGGGGGACGGAGAGAAAGGCAGCGCGTGTGTGGAGGACCGGGCTACATCTACAAGCATGGGCAAAAAACAGCAATAATCGCAAGGTCCCCGGGGCGGCGGCAGCGCAGAGAACAGGTAAAACTTCCCCGGTGTGGGCGCCCCGGTGTGTGGACCTTTGTAGACGCCTGGGAGAAGGAGCCCAAGTCCTCCAAGGTTCAAGTCTACTGCGTAGCGCTTGGGCATTTGTGGTTGCTTTTGGGGGCTTCGCTATTGTAACTTAAAAATAACGAGTGACTGCATGCTTCTCTTGGATGATGAGTGACCAACCCATTCGTCTTTCCTGTTTTGCCTTGAGTATGGGGTGGAAGGGGTTGGTGGTTTTCAGAATCGATTTTGCTTTGCAGCTTTTAGATTACTAGACTTACAACCTGTATGCATTCTCAGTATTGCTAACATGCCTATCTTGTTCCTAGGAAGTCAGTATTTCAGTTCATACAGAGCTTTACAATTCATGTCTTCCTCTTTTTGAGGCAGAGTGTCTAACGTTTCTCTTGAGTCGCTAGTCAGAGGAGAGCTTCATCCTCAGGACATTATATTAGTTGAAACTTTCCTCATTTGGTTTTACTTGGCTATTAAATAATTTCCTAAGGGTTCTGTATGAAGTCTGCACTTCAGATTTCTTTCTGTAGAAATTTCATGGCAGTGCGTGGCCTTTCCTTTTTTAAAATAGGTATAAAAGGGAGAGTTCTATCTGCAGGGAGGGCCACTTGGCGGAAAAGTGAAGTAGCGCATAAGCAATGTCATAGTAGGTTGGTACATGCAAGCCAGTAGTTCGTGTGAAGGTGACACCAAGCAGCATTTTGTGGGAGAACGTGACAGATTAACCTCAAAAGTGAGGGGGATACTTTGAATATCTTCATTTAGTCACCACTTGTCTATTTGAAATCCAAAAATTTAAACATATCTCTCTTTATTCTAAGGTAAAATTAGAATAAGATTTATGAAAATGTATTCTAACTTAAGTATTGTACCAAGTGTGTGGCATTGTAGTAACAGTGATTTAAGGGCCCACGGTGTCCCCTGAAAGCTGTGGAAGTGAAAGGGGTGTGTGTATGATATTTAATATTATGGGATCTGAGGTTTGTGGGAAGCCTACTCAGGAGGTTTATGACAAAATATTCCTTAATAATATAAGAATACATTCTGTTGAAAAATTGCCTTCTCGAATTGGATAGCTGTATACAGTATGTTCAGCACATCATTAAGTAAAACAGTAGATGAAAAAACAGTGTTGTTTTTCTTAAAGTAATTGTGTACATTGTTTTAAAATTTGTGTTTTCAGGACATTTTGCTCAAATGTCACCAGTTCTCTTTTAAAAGGAACTGTATCAGGAGCATCTTCTGTAATCCAGAGTTGCCTAAATAAATTAATATCTGCAGAGTTTCTAAGAACTTGCCTGAGACATTGTTTATTAAATAAATGTAGTAAGATGTCTAAGTAGATATGGCATCTGTTTATCAAATCAGTCTTTCATTCCTCTATCGATGGATGTTTATGTTCAGTTTTTCCCCTGTAATTAACAGTGCTTCAGTGATTATCTTTTTTTTTTTGTTTTATACAAGTGTCATACATTGTTTTATACAAGTAGTATTTTTGTAGAATCCATTCCTTCTGAGAATACCGAATAATAATGCTAATAAATTGCCTTTAAACGATTGTATCCTTTTTATATTCACTCTCTCAGAAAGTGTTTTTATTTCCCTGCTAGCCAGCACTGGATGGTAACAGTATTTAATATTTTACTAATTTTCTAATAATAAAAAATAATGTCTCACCTTAATTTTTACCTTCCTCACTATTAACAAAGTTAAACATTTTAAGCTGGGTCATATCTTTTGTGTGTTTTTGTTTTTTGTTTTCTTATTGGGTACTGAATGCCCTCTTTGACCTATCTAATGAATAGCACACTGTTTTAATTTTGTAGCTTTCTAATGTATTTTGGTACTTTCTTTTGAAAAAAGCTTTGGGCTCTTCTGCATTTTTCTTCCAGATGAAATTTGCAACTATCCTTTCAAATTCTGTAGAAAATCTTGTTGAGATATTGTTGTGATTACATTTAATTTATAGATTGAGAAGAGACATTCTTTTGAGTTTTTCCTTTTAGGAGAATAGGTATGTCTCCTTGTTTCATCTACTAAAATTTTTGTTGTGAAATATGCTGTTTACGTATACTACTTAAAAATACATACATATGTACATATCTGTGTTCCTAGCTTAATAGAACATCGTGTAAGTGCCTCTCCCCAGAAGCAAAGTATTCTTAGTCCCTGTCCCCATCACCACTGTCATCCTGAATTTTGTGTTGGTTATTCCCTTACCTTACTTTATAGTAATCACCTATATACGTATCCTTAACCAACATATTGTTTACTTCTCCTGTTTTTGAACTTTAAATGGAATCATACTGTAACCTTTGAATTACTTTTGTTAAACATGTTTTTGAGATTTCATCCATATTGAAGCATGTGCCTTAGTTCAACAATTCAGAAACATTTTGGACTCAGGACTCTACACTTTTAAAACTATTGAGGACCCCATAGATCTTTTGTACATGTGGGTTGTATAATATTAGATATTAAAACTGACTAAAATATAATAGATATGGTATCTGTGGTTCATTTATATATTATATATATGGTAGAAGAAAATCTGGCCTCTTGTGTATTCAGAAAAAGGAAGATTTTACTTATTTGTAAATGATTGTTTTATACTGAAGTATGTACAATAAAATGCACAAGCTTGATGAATCTTGAACACATGTATTCACTCATGTAACCATCACCCATATCATGATATCAAACATTCTAATTCCTTTTCTTCTTCACCTGTTTCACCCATTCTCTCACTCCCATCCCCTATGGCCACCAGCAATATGTTCTCTGTTTCTATGAGTCTGTTTCTGTTTTATTAATTTGTTTTGTTTTGCAGATTCCACATATAAGTGAAATCATGTAGTATTTGTATGTCTCTGACTTATTTCACTTAGTGTAATACCATCTAGGTCCATCCAGGTTGTTGAAAATAGC